GAGGAAAGACAGTGCTCCTTTCTGTACTGAGTCAAAGGGACTGTTTGATTATGAGCATGAGAAGATGAACCATTAGTGAATCATACAAGAAGAAACATCTGTCTTAACAACAAGGTGCAGTTTATTTCATGATAGCAATAGGTTTAAGTCATATTGGCTTGTTCAACACAATCTGTAAGACTGTCAGGAACCAGTAATGACACATCTGACCCTGTCAGGATCTTAAATGAGACTCCACTTTTTCCTACACAAGACGCTCTGATATCATCAGTTTGTGGACTTGAGGATTAACCCTTTCAGAGATAATGGCAATGCGAGAGAAATAAAAACACTTTTTTAAAAAACAGCAAGAGGATCTGGATTGTGTTGACTGTGATGATGGCAGATTTAATTGTGCCTTTCAAAACACTTCATATCCTGTGCAATACTTTGTTTTATAGTTTAATTTTACTTTCCTATTTTTAATTTCTTCAAACTGTTTCCTAGCTTTTATTTTCAGGTTCCTTTTCTTGCATTTCTGCCTCATCACTGCTTTTCTTTTTGTCTGGCTTCCTGGTTTTATTTGCTTCTTATATCTCCAACTTATGATCTTAGCTGTTGACTAATTCTATTGATATCATTTAGAGCTGACTTTTAAATTCTGAGCTGTGATCTGCAAAATTCTTAGCGCTATTGTTTTTCTATCCCCATGGTCTATCTTACAGTTTCCACATCTTTCCCAATACACAGTCATAAATAATATAGAAGTTGCCACCAAAACTGTGACCATAGTGAACTAATGTTTGCCATATTTGCTGCAAGTGCCTCCCGTAAGCATTATAAATGTTCTAACTCTCTATCTCCTCATTTAAAACCTGCTTTAAAGCCCAGTTTTATATGCAAGTCCTTTTTAATAGCTCCCCCTTTTACTCTTAGCCCATTTTGTCACCTTATGGATAATGTTATAAATGTTGAAATAAATATAATGATAAAATTTGAAGTTTGGCATTACAACACGGAAGGAGGCCATTCAGCTTGTCATGCCTGTGATGTCTCACTGTATGTGCAACTGAATTTAGTACTATCGCACTCTCCGATAGCACATTCTAGATCTTAAGAACTGCATTAAAGCTTTTCTTCCCGTCATGCTGCCATCAACTCTTTTGTAAAATGTCTTAATTGTGCCCTCTGGTTCTCAACACCTCTTCCAATGTGAACAATTTCTCCCGATTTACTCTGAGACCCTTCTTTTTTTTGAATACTTCTATCCCATCTCTTCTTAATTTTCTCTAATGCAAGGAGAATAGTACCAGGTTTTCTGAACTATCCCAATGCTAACCTTCTGGCACCCCACTCAATAGTTGTCCAATAGCCCAAGAAACAACTATTCCAACCTCATTTGGTTAGTTTTGCTCCAGTCACTTTTATTCCATGTGTTCCGACATTGCTCACAGATCTGTCGGGTGGCTTTTTATGAGAAGCAGTTTCGAAGACCAGTTACAACACAGCTATCACATTACCCTCATTTACCCTGCCTGTCATATGAAGAAGAAACTCAAGACAAGACGATTAGGGAAGATTTGCCCTGACCAAATCTGTACTGGCTTTCCTTGCTTTTTGTATTTTATTGTGAATTGCTCCTCTGTCAGGTACTGTTTTATATTTAATGTTGTAAAATATTGTCTTCCTGTTTCTGCATGAGGGAGATGGCACAGTACAGCATGATAATACAGGCGGTTTTGAGAGAAACCACATGTTGATGGATATTTATTTATTAAATCTATTAAAATTTATATATTCAATTTGGAGATGTTTTTACCAAGAGTAATTGATCTATTCTGGACTTTTTTGTATGGAAAGAATTGTAGAAGTTACATCACAGAAGGCAAATTTGATTTCTCCACTTCTACACTGGCTTTTTACGACAGCCATTCACCTAGTGCCATTCCCCTGCCTTTCTCTGAGAGGCTTTAACATATCCAAAAATATCACTGTCGTGAGTTATTCAATTTGGTCCTGGTCCCTAGGATGATATTGAGATTGGAAATATCAAATTAATTTTAAGACTGCACTGAGCTGCATTTACCTGCTGCTGCTCCCTTAGCTCATGCCCTAGTTCTACAATTTGCTTCCAGCCCCTTCTTCCCTGGTCTGACCCTCTGCCCCACTTCTGTTCCATTTTTTCCCTTTTTTGATTCCCTGCCCTGCTTCCATATCTTGGTTCTCTGCCCTGATTCACTCCCCAGCTGCTTTCTAACTGTCTTTGGCTGTTGCTCATTTCTAAATTTTGTTCCTCGACCAGACCCATCGGCACTAGGTATAAAATTCTGTGGAAATCTTCAGCTCTTGTAATACAGTGATGGTCTTTTCTTGACTGGATATTTTTAGTACTTCAGCTTCAAGAGTAACTGCTGATAGCATCTTTGAGGAGAGTGCAAGCTTGATGTACTGTGACAGTGCGAGGGTGTTGAATTAAGGTGTTGGTTGAAGCAACAGTCAGTTATTCACTCTGGCTACTTCAGTTTCAATTGTGTGCCTGTTGATTCATCTCTTGAGCAGTGTCAACCAGAAAACTCCAAACGGTCACCACAATGACACCATCCATAGCAACAGAAAATGATTCATTTTCCTTTCCATTGCTCCCCCCCTAGGTCTGAAGGCAGTGATACATTCTAAGGTGCGATTCCACATGCTTGGTAGCCCTTTGCAACTTCAGCATCTATCATGCCAGTGTTACCATGCTATGGGTAAGGTATTATGGTCAACCCCGATCTTACATTCATTCAATATCTCTGCACAACTGTAGTTCCCAAGAGTGGCCAATGAGTGGTAGTCAGGACAGGAACTGAGACTGCATTCTCACTGTCACATCACACTCTGCCATGACCCAGCTATTGCCCGGGCACAAAGCAGAGAACAACAGAGAGTGGACTGACCATTTTGCATTGTCGTCAATCAGTTTACCTGCTCAGTATTCAAGTGGTATGAGCAGCCAGACCTCGGACAATGCCATTCTCTTGCATTGTCACATTGTAAAATAACTTAGTGCAACAGCAGATTCTGTTTATTTTGCACCTTTAACTTATTCGAACATCCCAAGGCATTACAGAGCATTATTTTCAATCGAGATTTGACAGCAAGCCACATAAATTAGGGCCAGAGACTCAAAGTTTGGACGAAGAGGGAATATTTTCAAGGGTGCACAGACAGATGGTGATACAAAGTGGTTTACAGGGGACTCCAGAGCTTAGTGCCTTGATAGTTAATTTCACAGACTGGAAAGAAATGTAGGACAAGAAGCACAGTGTTGATGGATGTACGGGATTTGGTGTAAGTTTGGATATAGGAAGCAGAGTCTCAGATGAGTTAAAGTTTATGGAGGAGATAAGACTGGCAACAAGAGCAGCTAACAACACATTCTCTTCAAGTCGCTAACAGCAGACCAAGAAATATGTTTGTGATTTCAGAGGTCTGTAGTTCTCACTTTAGTTTTCATTCAGAAAGAGTATAAGGTGTAATTCTAGGGGAAAGAAATTGTGAGATCAAATGATGAAGACAGAAATATTCTTGCATTTCTACAGGGCTTTCACAAGCTCAGGAGCTCACAAAGCACTTCATGGCTAATAATTTATTCTAGATATACAGTAATTGTTGTAATATGCAAATGATGGCAGCCAAGTTATGCACAGCAAGGTCCATGAAGTAGCAATATTTGACTGGATAACTTGTTTTGGTGCTGCTTTTAGGCAGGATCCCAAAGAGATTACTCCTACACCTCCATGTTTCTGCCCTGGTGGTAGTAGCAGGTACCTGAGAACACAGGTGGAGCCTTCAAAACCTCATCTAAACAACGCTAACTCCGACAGTGCAGTGCACTCTCAGTAGGTGCACTGCAGAGTCAACCTGGGTAATTCTTCACGACTGTCAATTCTTTGGAGTTTGGCCTCAAACCCACAACATTTAAGCTCAGAGGCAAGAGTGCTACCACTTTAACAAGGCTGATACTTTATAAAATCTTTATCATTTATTACCGCTATTACAATTATCATTATTTTGCTAACTGAACCACGTCAGAACATTTTTTTATCAACGTTTATTTCTTTCAGGGTTGACTCATTGGAAACTGTATTCCCTAGGGAATAGCAGATAAGAACATAAGAACTAGGAGCAGGAGTAGGCAATTCAGTTCCTTGAGCCTGCTCTGTCATTCAACATGATCATGGCTGATCTTGCCTTGGCCTCTGCTGCACTTTCCTGTCTGCTCCCCATAAACTTTCAACCTGTTACTAAACAAAATCTTTGTCCTCCTTAACTTTATTCAGTGTCCCGACGTCCACCACACACTGGGATAGTGAATTCCACTGATTCAGGACCCCTTGAGACAAGTACTGCCTCCTCATCTCTATTTTAAATCTGCCACCCCTTAGCCTAAAACTATGACTTCTCATTCTATATTGCCTGACAGGGAAATCATCCTCTCCTATCTCCACTTTGTCTATCCCCTTTAGCATTTTAATCAAATTTCTACTCAGTGTTCTAAAGGATGCTAAAGATACTTTGGTTTCGATCCCGTCTACATAGATGCAGTGGAAGTCATCTTCCTGTGCTGGCTTTTTGAATTCAGTGGGAACTTTCATTTGTGCAATCGTGCATTAGCCTAAGTAAAGTGCTCATAATCTGGTACAGTTTATCTTCAATTTCGTTCAATGGCAATGAGGTTAAGTGGAACTGAAAGCAGAATCACAGCATTTTGAATTTGTAAAAGGAGCTTAAAGTGTATTGTTAGAGTAATGAGGAGAGCTTTATCCTGCACCAGGTTTTGCTGTACATGGCGTGGGAGTTGACGTATCCTGCGACTGCATACCCCCAAAATTAAAATATTCCCATCTCCACAGCTGTCATGCCTCACCTTGATAAACACAAAAGAGAACAAGGAAATAAAAAGCAAATTGACATTCTCTTGTGGGACATCAAATGAAAGATTGTGCCATTTTGATAATGAATCTAACTCTTGCTTCCAGGTAACTGAGCTGCACAGCATCAGGAACATAAGCAGGTTGCCCCGAGAGACAAAGAAACATGCTGTGGCAATTATCTTTCATGATGAAACATCAAAGACATTTGCCTGTGAGTCAGGTAAGCAATTACATGTGCCTCTACAGCTTGAGGAAGTTCAGACCATTTCACAATTGTAACCCATGCAAAATAAAAGGCTGCAAAAGCAGAAAAGTAATTGATCTGTGAGGTAATTTGATGTAAATATTTATAATAATGGTGAACCTGAGCTGCTGATTTTATAGACATGATGGCACTTGATTAATATTGAGCAAAATTAGCTTCACTTTCATTGAACAATGAAGTCTTGTCATTCTCTGACATTGTGCAAATTCTGCCTTTGGGATGCTATTATTGCATTTTGTAATGTAGTTTGTGATCTGAGCTGTGTCTTTTATAGAGCTTTGGAAGTAGTGCCAGCTGCCTCACAACTGGCACCATCATTGGAATGCAGAGAACAGGCCAAAAATGTAATTTTTGTTTTGGTATGGTGGGACTGAGCTGTGAATGATTATGATTTTATATGAAGAAATGGAAGCGGAAATGATAATTATGTTTGGAGTACATGTTCTGTAGCATTTACTGATTCAGTCATTCACTCGATAGTTAATACACTTTCTGCAAAATCTGTAAGACAGATTTAACAACATGATGTGGCAATTCACTATTTGTACAGATAAGGGACAGTATCAGTGGAGTTTCCTGTGAACAACAAATTTTTATTCTAAATACTCATATTTAGGCTAAAAATTTATACTTTTTTCCAATGCTTAACTACACATTCCCATCTTCTGAGAGTCAGAGCCATACAGCATGGAAACAGACCCTTCGGTCCAACTAGTCTATGCTAAGCCATCCCACAACCAACAGATCAGATCTAAGCTCTGCAGTCCTGCCACATCCAGTGGTAAATGGTGGTGGACAATTAAACAAGTCACTGGAGGTGGAGGCTCCACAAATAGCCCCATCCTCAGTGATGGAAGAGCCCAGCACATTAGTGCAAAAGATAAGGCTGAAGCATTTGCAGCAATCTTCAGCTAGAAGTGCCGAGTAAATGATCCATCTCAGCGTCCTCCAGTGGCCCCCAGCATGACAAATACCAGTCTTCAGCCAATTCGATTCACTCCACATTGGAGACACTGGACACTGCAAAGGCTACAGGCCCTGACAACATTCCGGCAATAGTACTGAAGACTTGTGTTCCAGAACTTACCGCTCCCCTTGCCAAGCTGTTCCAGTACAGTTACAACACTGGCAACTACCTGACAATGTGGAAAATTGCACAAGTATGTCCTGTATACAAAAAGCAGGACAAATCCACCCCGGCCAATTACTGCCCCATCAGTCTATTCTCAATCATCAGTAAAGTGATGGAAGGTGTCATCTACACTGCTATCAAGCAGCACCTGCTCAGCAATAACCTGCTCAGTGACGCTCAGTTTGGGTTCTGCCAGGGCCACTCTGCTCCTGATCTCATTACAGCCTCGGTTCAAACATGGACGAAAGAGCTGATTTCCAGAGGTGAGTTGAGAGTGACAGCTCTTGATATCAAGGCTGCATTTGACAGAGTGTGGCATCAAGGAGCCCTGGCAAAACTAGAATCAATGGGTATCGGGGGCAAACTGTCTGGTGGTTGGAGTCATACCTGACACGTAGGAAGATGGTCGTGGTTGTTGGCAGTCAATCATCTCAGCTCCAGGACATCTCTGCAGGAGGTCCTAGGCCTAGCCATCTTCAGCTGCTTCATCAATGACCTTCCCTCCATCATAAGGTCAGAAGTGGGGATGCTCGCCGATGATTGCACAATGTTCAGCACCATTCGTGACTCCTCAGATACTGAAGCAGTCCATGTTCACATGCAACAAGATCTGGACAATATCCAGGCTTGAGCTGACAAGTTGCAAGTGACATTTGCACCACACAAATGCCAGGTTATGACCATCACCAATAAGAGACATTCTAACCACTGTCCCTTGACATCCAGTGGTGTTACCATCACTGAATCCCCCACTATCAACATCCAGGGGGTTACCTTTGCCCAGAAACACAACTGAACTCACCACATTAACACAGTGGCTACAAGAGCAGGCTAGAAGCTCGGAATACTGTGGTGAGTAACTCACCTCCTGACTTCTCAAAGCCTGTCCGCCATCTATAAGGCTCAAGTCAGGAGCGTGATGGAACACTCCCCATTTGCCTATGACTGCAGCCCCAACAACTCTCAAGAAACTAGAAACCATCCAGGACAAAGCAGCCCACTTGATTGACACTACATCCACAAGCATCCACTTGCTCCACCACTGACACTCGGTAGCAGCAGTGTATACTACCTACAAGATGCACTGCAGAAATTCACCAAAGATCCTCAGACAGCACCTTCCAAACCCACGACCACTTCCATCTAGAAGGACAAGGGCATGTGGGAACACCACCACCTTTAAGTTCCCCTCCAAGTCATGCACCATCCTGACTTGGAAATATATCGCTGTCCCTTCACTGTTGCTGGGTCAAAATCCTGGAATTCCCTCCCTAATAGCATTGTGGGTCAACCCACAGCAGGTGGAGTGCAGCAGTTCAAGAGGGCAGCTCACCACCACCTTCTCAAGGGCTACTAGGGATGGGCAAGAAATGCTGGCCAGCCAGCGACACCCACATCCCACAAATGAATAGAAAAAAATTGCTGAACAGAATCCCAAACTAAACTAGTCCCACGTGCCTGCTCCTGGCCCATATCCTTCCAAACCTTTCATATTCATGTACTTATCCAAAAACGTTTTAAACGTTGTGATTGCACCCACATCCACCACTTCCTCAGGAAGTTCATTCCACATGTGAACCGCCCTTTGTGTAAAAGATTTGCCCCTCATGTCTTTTTTGAAATCTCTCTCCTCTTGCCTTAACAACGTGCCCTCTAGTCTTGATATCTCCCATTCTAGGGAAAAGACAACTACCATTAACCCTATCTATACCCCTCATTACTTTATAAACTTCTAGAAGGTCACCTCTCAACCTCCTATGCTCCAGTGAAAAAAGTCCCAACCTATCCAGCATCTCTTTATAACTCAAACCTTTTATACCTGACAACATCGTGGTAAATCTCTACTGAACCTTTTCCGGCTTAATAATATCCGTCCTGTAACTGGGCGACCAGAACTGCGCACAGTATTCCGGAAGAGGCTTCACTAATGTCCTGTACAAGCTCAATATGACTTCCCAACTCTATACTCGATGGACTGACCAAAGAAGGCAAGTGTGCTTAATGTATTTCAGAAAGAAAGTGATCAAAATATGAATGGTTTTATTCCGTATTGTCCTTTTTTTGCCTCAGTTTTTGTTGCTTCTTCATAGTATTGTCAATAACTTTTTCTTGCTTGTTTTAATATCAGTTTCTCACCCATGCAATCTATCCATTTCTCTTTCTGCTAAAATGCTAAGAAAGTTTCCTCATTCATTTTTTAAAAGGAATATGTTTGCTGAAATGCATGGCTTTTGGGAATGTGATTTGTGAGGGTATAATTTGATTAGCAGCAATAATGAAATGAGTCATGGTGCATCTGCAATGATCATTTAATTTATTTTAAGGTGCTAACGAGCCACTTGGCCAATTCAAACTAGAATATGCATTTGTTGAAACAAATTCTCTGACTACCTGTGGGGAAGCTGTTCATTTTGTGACAAGTTGTGGTGAATGTCTGCCATGTATCTTCTAGATGATACACATTGCTGATACTGTGCATTGGTAGTGGAGAGAGTGAATGTTTGTGCACATGGTGCCAGGATGCACCATTGAATGTCAGGGGGCAATGGTTAGATTGTCTCTTGTTGGAGATGATCATTGCCTGGCGCTTGTAACAATCCCACCACGCTTGCCATTTGTCAGCCCAATCCCAGATATTGTCCAGGTCACGGAATCGTAGAATCCCTCTGGTGTGGAAACAGATCCTTTGGGCCATCCAGTCCACACCAACTCTCTGAAGAACATCCTACCCAGACCCACCCCTTTACCCTATTTCTTAATCCTGCATTTCCCAGGGCTAATCCACCTAGCCTGCACATCCCTGGAAGCCATGGGCAATCTAGCATGGCCAATCCACCTAACCTGCAGATCTTTGAGCTGTGGGAGGAATCTGGTGCACCCGGATGAAACTCGCACAGACCTGGGGAGAATGTGCAAATTCCGCACAGTTGCCTGAGCCTGGAATCGAATCTGGGTCCCTGGTGCTTTGAAGCTGCCATGCTAACCACTGAGCCACCATGCTGTCCCATGCTGCATTTGGACATAGGGTGCTTCAGAATCTGAGGCATTGCGAATGGCACTTGTGAATTGTGAATTTGTAATCATCAGCGAACATTCCCACTTCAGTCTTTATGATGGGGGACAGTCATTGAAGCAGTTAAAGGGCTTTGGACACTACCCTGAGGAACTCCTGCATAGATGCCCTGGAGCTGAGACAGCTGACCTCCAGCAACTAAAATCATCTTTCTAGTTGGCTAAGTATGACTCCAAAGAGCGAAGAGTTTTACCATAATTCTCATTGATTTCAGTTTTACTAGGACACTTTGTTGTCACACTCAGTCAAATGCGTCTTTGACATTAAGGGCTGTCACTGTCATCTCACCTCACTGTTTATTCTTTTGACAATGTTTGAACCAAAGCTGTAAAGAGGTCGGGAGCGAGTGGCCCTGCTGGAACCCAAATTGGGCATCGCCTGGCAGGTTATTGCTGAGCAAGTGCTGCTTGATAACACTGATGACACTTACCACCACTTTACTGATGATCAATAGTAGACTGATGAAATGGTAATTGGTTGGGTTGGATTTAACATGCTTTTTGTGTATAGGACTAAGTGGGCAATTTTCCATATTGATGGATAAATGCCAGTGTTGTAGCTGTAGTTGATCAGCTTAATTCTGGAGCATAAGTATTCAGTACTATTCCAGAATTGCTGTCAGAGCCCATAACATTGATTGGATCTTAAGTAGTCCCGTGTTGTATCTTTACCAGCGTGACATCTCATTTTAGGTATGCCTGGTACTGCTGCTGGTGTATTGTTCTGCCATCTTCATTGAACCAGTGTTGA